AGCTGCTGCAGCCGCTGCGCTGTGAGCCTGCGGTGATGGATCTCCTGAAGGGAAAAGCTGTGGAGTACAGCGCTGACGGGCTTCATCTGCTCACTGCCGGGGAGCCGGTTGTTCTTCCCAACTCCCAGGAAGCTTGCAGGCAAGAAGCAGGACTGGAAGCAGGCAGGCTACCAGCCGCAGGGCTGGGGTCGGGTAGTACAGTGCAGCCTCCTTCATTGCAGCATCCTCATGGCAGGGACCGCGGACTGGGAGAACTACAGCTCCCAGCACCCTTTCCTGCGTGCCCCTGCCGACTACAGTTCCCAGACCCTTTTAACGAGCCGGAGAGGCTGACGATGGAAATAAATGCCGCCGATTTTTGCATAGCACCCTGCACCTCCGAAGCGTGGGCCGGCCCTTGGTTAGTGAAAACGGGAGCGAGGGAAAAGCCAGGGAGCATCAGCGCTGCGGAGCTGTGCTTTTGCCCACCCCTAATAGCCGCAGGGGTGTCTTCCAGCCCGACAGAGCACCCTCCCTCCCCTCGGGACCCCCTTGGCGGTCACAGGGAGGACCCTGCCCCCCAGGAAACACGGCTGCTGGGGGGGGGGGAGAAGCCGGGCCAAGTGGGTGAGGCTCAATGTGGGGGGCACCGTCTTCCTCACCACCAGGCAGACCCTGTGTCGGGAGCAGAAATCTTTCCTGTGTCGCTTGTGCCAGGGCGAGGAGCTGCAGTCGGACCGGGTAAGGCGGCTGGGTTGCCTCCCGCGCCGTGCCCCACCGAGCATGGGGAGGGCCGGAGGGATGCAGGGATGGAGCCAGACCCCGACACCTGCGGGAGCAACTGAGTGAAAAATGCCTGCTCTTTCTCCCCTCCTCTCCCGGGAAGGATTTCCCCTTGCCAGAGCCCCCTTTGCTGTGTTGTAGCCTGGCACCTGTCTTCCCAAGCTGGGCAAAAGAGGGGGCACCTCCCCACTCCCACCTCTCTCCCACCCCACATTCCCTGGGTCTGCCTTCCAGCTGTATCTGCCTGACCCAGCCTTGTCCCCTCTAAGGGGGCTCTCTGCTCTCTCACACCAGGCCTGCAGCCACAGTTGCAGAAGGAGACTGAGGCCTATTTTTTGGCTTTCTCAGCTTGGTTGGTCCATGCTGAGGTGGGCACGCTGTGCATACCAATACAGGAGTTAAAATCCAAGCTGGGCTGACTTGGCTAGGGGCTCTCACGGGCCCATGGTTTCCTAGGAGTCTTAGAAATAGTGGATGTTTTTGCTTAGGTTTGTATTTTCTCATAGTCTGGAACATTTGAAGGTTGGTTACAAGTTTCCCATGGGGTTTCTCTCCTTGTGGTCTATCTCTGTTGCTAGGATGAGACTGGTGCATACCTAATAGACCGGGACCCCACTTACTTTGGGCCCATCCTGAATTTCCTCCGCCATGGGAAGCTGGTCCTGGATAAACATATGGCTGAAGAGGGTGAGTCTTGGAGCACAGAAACTTCCCACTTAACGTCGCTGCTGTAGCCAGGACACAGTAGGACTTGTTGTCGGCCTTGTTGTCTCTCGTTCTCCTTCTGGAGGCTGATATGGCAGGATTTGAGCGGGCTATCCCTGCAGCTCTTGGAAAGCAGACCGATGTTTCCTTTGCTAAAGGGGTTCGGAGTAGGTGAGGAAGGCATCCTACAGGTGTTGTGGCTTCATGACTGTTCGTTCAGCAGAGATGTCACTGAGACGGAAGTAGGCAAGATCTCTTAGCCACAATAAACCATTTTTTAACTTGTTCTTGATCCACTTCTATCCAGGCTCTGTGACTGAGTTTTCTGTTAATGACTGAGTGTTTCTAATTAGGAATGAAAACCCAGAAGGCCAAACAAAACCAAGCTCATCTCTTCTACTGACTGTAATAAAGAGCATCATTAATCAGTGATATGCAATGTATGCTGCTGGTGCTCTGATGGGTTGTGGACTGCAGCAGTTCCTAGTGGAGCAAGTCAGGCAAACCAGTCCCTCATCTGAGGTTGACAGCGGGTCCAGCAGGATAACTCAGTAACATCATGGTGTTACCAGCCGGCAGTCCCCGATGCCTCGTTAGTTTTTGGGTGCTTGAGTCTAACAAGGAGCCAATTCCAAAGACAGGCTGTGCTGTGCAGCCCTTGCCAAGCACAGTTTCTGCATGTTCATTAGTCTTCTTGCCTCTCTTACATATTTTTACCTAATGCAAGGAAAGTTTTATTCAGAATCATCTTCTGAGTTTTAATTCCAAAACCATAACAAAGCAATGGTACAGCATTGTAATAAACACAATTCTGAGGTGTCTCCTACTTGACATTTCTTGTAATCCTGAGGTCAGACAGAGTTCATCCACAGGTTTTAATGTCAAATCTGAAGCATAAACTGGAGTCCTGTTCATAAGTTAACATTGTCCTTTGTTCCTGGTGCAAATACTCAGGCTGGCATAAAACTAACCCATTAGATGATTCATGGCTGAATGAGGGGTTCGGAAGACGTCTGAGTGTGTCAGGTAGTGGAGGATCAATCTCCCCACTTGCACTGCCTGTGTACTACCCCAGGGACACGTGCGTGTTGGCTCCTAGCCGCCTTTTCCTCACCAACCCTCTGGGAACCCACCTCCCTTTCCCTGAAGGCCTGTTAGCAGACCAGTGAGTCTCAGGAGAGGTGATAGATGTAGGCACCATAGAGAAAAAAAAAACCCAAACACTTCTCTGTTTACCTGCTTTGAGGGGAGAGAGCCAAAGATCATCTGAAGTCATATGGGGCTGCAAGGCGGGCGTAACTCCAACTGGCCCAGGAGGAAAGTTGAGATTTTCTAGAGTCTTTTGGTGACAAGGTGATAACTAGTGGTCATTGAGAGAGCCTGGAGCCTAACATTTATTCTTCTTGGCCAGTTCTCTGGGAAAGGCATTAGCAGTCCTCCGTGCAAGCCTTCACTGGCAGTGCTTGTTTCTGTAGTAGCAGGCAGCATAGGAAAATTGGGGTGAGCATTAGAAACACGGTGCAGAGAGCTAGGGTTCAATCCTCTGCAGTAAGAGTTTCAGGCAACAGAAACCTGTTAAAAAGTGAGGCTGCGGTGTCATTTCTCCCTGTGGGCCTTGGAAAGCTCAGAACTGATCTTTTGCAAGCCAAAACACAGACGGGCTGTTAACTTTCTGTCATTGTGGTCCCTCTGTCTATCTTTCTCAGGTGTCCTAGAAGAAGCTGAGTTCTATAACATTGGTCCTTTAATCCGAATAATCAAGGATCGACTAGAGGAGAAGGACTACACAGTAACTCAGGTATGGAGAGAAATGGCAAGGAAAGAGAATGGGGTGGGCAAAGGAAGCAATGTGAAAGGGGAGAGGTGAGTCTAGAGGGAGAGCAGACTTGGGAGAAGCAGCAAGGAATGGAAAGAAGCAACTAATTAGAATTTATGTATGTGCTAATGTCTACATAACAAAATCTTGCAGGGGACAGACTACCACCATTTTAGTTACACTAAACAAGTTACAGGCTTGTTTTGCATCCCCAGCAGTAATGTTGGATGTAGTCCCTGAAACCAAATCAGCTCCTCTAGCTTTTGGAAGAAGGCAGCTGGTTGCTGTGGGATATGGAAGAATGTTTGTGAGGAGACCAAAGGTGTCAGAGGGAGGAGGGCTCTGGTGTGGGGAGTCCTGGGAGTGTAATCACAGTGAAGAGCATGGGGATAGCTGTAGAGAAACCTGGAGGGAACAGGTGAAGAGAAATGCATTTAACATTTAACGTTCCGTGACTATGGAAGAGTTAAATGCAGACAATGAGGCACAAGACAATCCCGTGGCACAATCACACCTTGTCTTGGCCAATAACCTTTTAAAATCTGTCTTCTGGGAGTGTTGGCTGATATCTCAGTTTTCATCATGTCTCCCTCAGGTTGTAAGGCTCCAGCAACACAGTCACTTTGTTGTCGCAAAACCCCATCAGCATTTGTGGCATTTGCCTAAATGACTTTGTAGTGACGAATGCAAACTCCCTATCAAAAGAGCCCAGTACCTTCTGGGGGCAATGCAGGAAGCCCTCAGCTCAGTCCCTCCTCTGTTCTTGCTCCCCGTGACAGCAGAGTAGAAAGCTGGGTTGTGGTTTCCACTCCTCTTTAACCTGGGACATGGGGAAGAGGACAGGTCTGTCAAGGAGGGGTACTATCACTTCATTCTGCAGGAGGGCAACAGCCCTGACCATTGCCAACACGCTCTGCAATTTTGCTGTCAGGTGCCTCCCAAGCATGTCTACCGTGTGCTGCAGTGCCAGGAAGAGGAGCTCACTCAGATGGTTTCCACTATGTCAGATGGATGGCGCTTTGAGCAGGTATGGAGAAGGTAGAGCAGGTGGGAAGTTGTTGTCTTTTGGTCATGGATGCCATACAGTCCCCAGGCAAGGAATCTTCCCTCTCTGAGAATATTGGGTCAGTCATTGATGGTGCTATCACAGCGGCTCTCTCTTGCCCCGCATCTCGAGGTTTAGAGGATACTGTGTGAGGTTAAGCCATTTTGCATGCTGGCTGAGTCCTCTCCTGGTTCTCTGTGCTGCCTCCTCAGCATAGTTATGAGGCCTTTCTATTGGGGGTATGGATTGGACTCCATGCTGCATGGTGGGCTTTCTGCCTTTCTCCCCAGGTGGAGTGGCTGTTTGCAGTAACATGTGCTTGTGATTCTTCCTCTCATCTTTTCTAGCTTGTGAACATTGGCTCATCCTATAACTACGGGAATGAGGATCAGACAGAATTCCTGTGCGTGGTCTCCAAGGAGCTGTACAACTCCCCCAATGGCCTGAGCTCTGAACCCAGCCACAAAGCCAAGGTGAGACCAACTCTGCTATGGTCCTGCTCCTGTTGCCTATGAGATCTTTTGCTCTTGTTTGCTCCCTCTTTCTTTCCTCTCTCCACTGTGACTGTGGGGCACCTCAGTGGTGAAATACAGGGGCTTGTTCTGGTGTTCAGCACCGTAGCATTACACCCATTGCCCAAAAGGAGGAGTGTGTGTGTTGAGAGTGTTGGTGGCCATCTGTATGTGGCAAATGGCTTTAGCGAGTGACCCTGGCACTTCTCATGCTGCTCTAACATTCCCTTCATGCCTCCTCATGACCATGCTGTGTGTGTTACTCTGCCTCTAGGGTGTAATTCCCCTGAAGGCTTTGCAGCATTCTCCTTCCTTTCCTTTTGCTGACTCCCAGCCTAAGGGGCAGATCACCTGCTCCCCTTTTGAGGGAAGGTCAGAAACATGTGGCAGTGCATGACATCTTGTAGACACCTAGGATACAGGAGGGAGCACTAGCGACTGATGGCAGTTGTTGGGCAGTGGGATCACAGCATTTGTAAGAGGGTTAGATAGCCCTGACGTGATGCTCCAGAGGAAGGCAAGTCTCTTTGCTCCCTGACCATGAGCGGTCCTGGCCATGGGGAAAGGTCCCTTTTTATTCCAGTGTTGTGAGCATTGCTTTATTCCCTTGTGTGTCAGAAATAACTGCCATGGCTCATCTTGCAAGTATCTCCACTCTTTCTTCCCTTTGTCCTGCATGCTGGGCCACAGAGCACAGAGGAGGACCTGAAGGAGGAAGAGCAGGAGGTGGAGGAGGAGGCAGAGGCAGAAGCAGAAGCAGAGGAGAAAGGTGCAGCAAATCCTTGAGGAAAATGATAAAAATACCCCCCCAAGCATAGACCCGACCACCTTTCTGGTGAGAGCTCACAGCTAGCAGCAGGGAAGGACTAGGGCAGGTGTGGGGTGTGGGGGCAGTCGTCTCCAGGAGCAGGAGTCTCTCTGGAGATAAAGCTGACAAGGGTGGAGATGAAGCTGACAGGGGAGAGCTGTTACTGCGGCTGCTGCTTTGTATTTTAAGCTGTTTGGTTTATTTATGGTTATATTTTTATTTGCAGACTGTCCATCTATTCAGGATTGCACTAAACTCTTTCTTCCTCCGGACCCTCCCTCCTGCTCTCCTCCGTGTCCATCCCAGCACTGTCACCTACCTCCCACCCCGCCCCACTCCCCAGCCTCCAGCATCCTTCCCTCTGCTCCCTTTGCCTCCCAGGGCTCAGAGCGGTCCCTGTCTCTGCTCCTCACTTCTCCTCCTCTGCAGGTATGTTACTGTCTGCACTCTCAGCTCCTGCCAGCCTGAGCTCTGCATGAGTGACTCACTTCCCTCTTGTGGGTATGGCTCTGGTTTGTAGAGCTTGGGGAGGGGAAGGAGGGAGGGGAGGTTGACTCATCCCTAAGGTGACTTTTCCAATTCCCATCCTATGTGTGCCTTTACCTGCCAAGCAGGCCCTATGGCTCCGGACCTGAGGCTCTGGCAGTAGAAAGAGGAGCACAGCTGGGAGAAATGCAGAGAGGTGGAAATGAATGCAGAGCAGGCAGGGGTGGCACGGGGATGGGGACGGGGGAAGTCTGCCACGTGTCTGCCTGACACGCATGCCGGATCGCTTCTCTAGACTGCTGTCTGCAGCTCCTTTGCCTGCCAGCCCGAGAGCGGTTTGCAGCATTTTCCCCTCCCCGCTCTCGCGAAATGAGCCTCTGTGCTCTGCCTCCTGCGCAGGGAGGCTGCCTGGCCGGGGTGTGTGGGGCCGAGTACAGGAAGTGTGAGAAGGAGGATTCCTCTCTTATACTGGAAAACTGGCTCTTGCTAAACCAGAGGTGCTCAGTGCCACTCTTTGTCCTGGTGAAGGGCACTTGCTAGCTGGCTGACATTTCTCCCCCCTCTCTGTTTGATTTGAGAGCCTCCTTGTCCATAGCTGTGGGACCCGAGTGGTGTTGTCTTAAAAGTCAGTGTACGTTAATCACATGGGCTTTTCCTCCTTTTTTCTCTGTTTTCCCACCCTCACTCCTCGTATTTTTTCTTTTTCTGCTGTCCTTATTTCCTCTGTCATTTCCCTTTTCCTGTTTCTCACTCTCCGCTCCACACTCAATCACTTTTTTCTTTTCCCTGACGTTGATTCTGTTTCTCTCTTTCTCTCTCCTTCTCTAGCTGTTACAAGCCAGAGGTCTGAGGATGTGATCCCGACACTCCACTCCAGCCTTTTAATTTCTGGTTTATATCTTTATTTTTCTACTGCAGTGTACGGCAGCCCCTTGCCCCACAGTGACACCCCCAGCCCCCTTCCCTCTTCACATGCAGACGTGCTTTTTTTACAAACTCACCTCCAAGGCCTGAGCCTCGGCCCTGGAGGAGGGCAGATGCTCCAAGGAGCCCCTGGGCTGCTGTAGGGGCTGGAGCCCCCGGCCCCCTGCCATGCCTGGCAGGCTGGCTTTCCTTAATGTCACAGTGGCCCCTGCTGGGGACATCAGTGATCAGCCACTGCAGCCTGCGGTCCCTTCCTGAGCACCCAGGATGCGACTGGGGCCCTGGGGTGGTGGCAGCTGCCGTAGGACCAGTCCTGGCCCTTTCGCTGTTGCAGGCAGCTGGACTGGGCTTGTGGCCGAAGGGCAAATGCAGAGCCACTGCCCCTTTCTGGGCCACCTGCACTGCTCGCAGGGTGTCCCTGTGCTGGGTATCGCGCTCCTTGGTGCCTCCCTCCCTGTCCCCCAGAGCAGCCCTGTGTCAGCTGGGTGAGGAGGGGACGGGCGTGCTGCCCGGGTACCGGGAACACGCTGGCACCTGATGTCGTGTCTGCTAGCATGAGGAGATCCCTGCCTCGGGGAGCGGGGCGTTTGCTTCACTGCTCTGTCTGAGGACACCAGGTTGTAACTCTTGAATAAAATTCACAGTCTGTTCCTCCTTGCTGCCTCTCATTTGAAGTGGCAGAAATTTGGTGCTGGTAGAAGGGGGTGGGAGCTGGAGAGGAGGAGTTTGGATTCATTGCCTGGAGCCACCAGAAGCTGCTTGTGCTGCGCCTGTCTTCTGGGAGCTGGAGGAACTTCCCACTGCGTCTGTGCTGCATCCCCACTGCAGGCAGCTGGGCTACAGAGCAGGCTTGCTTATTGCTATCTGCACCCCTAAATCATAATGATCATAACGATACCTGTCTAGCTAGCGTATGGACCCCACTGCGCCTGGGACACAGCTGAGACGAAGGGCAGGGGTGTGGAAACTTTTGCCAGTTGCCAGTGCCAGGATTGGAGTTTGGTCAACCCCGAGATAATTCTTAACAGAATAAGACAAACTAGAGCCAAAAAAACCCTCTAATTAATTTTATTTCTAATGCTAGAGAGTGGCCAATTGTATATAAACACACACATACATATATATACTGTTTAAGCACTGTGCCCTCAAGCCTTCACCTCCTGGATTACCTGAGTTAGGAGACAGGAAGCAGTTGATGCCCTCGTGTCAGAGGTACTTAGAAGGGCTGAGGGAAGGGGATGGGAGGCTGCTCCACTGTTTTTATGGAGGGGTCGGGGCCTTTGCCTGAGGGAGTCCAAGTGCAGCAGCGGAGGCTGGGGGCTGCTCCAGCAGGGAGGCAGGACAGTGAGACGTGAAGAGTTGCCTGGCTGGGCTGAACAGCACATGCCAGCTAAGAAAAGAAGCAATTAGGGAGATGGAAGAGGAGGAGTGATGGGAGGGGAAGGGGGAAGAAGGATGAGCAGCAGGAAGGAAGAGGGAGGCAGATTGATTTCACAGTTACTGGAATCTCTAACTACATCAGTCACATTTTCTTTCAGCAAATGTTCCAGCATAAGATTGTGGCTGAATCACATGGTTCATGGAAAGTTCAACCCCCCCCTTACTCCTCTTCTCAGAAATCATCAACTTGGGGACTGCTGCTGTGTGCCATGTCACCCTCCCTCCTGCTGCCAACCTGTTTGGATGGATGGCCTCAAAACACCTCGGGATGCTCCCTGGGAAGCACTGAGGGGGAAGAGGGTCTGCCCACCTTTCTCTACAATCCCCAGTGCAGGCTTTTTTTACCCTGCACAGAAGAGCATCCTGGGTCTGACAACATCCCACACAGAAACTCTCTCTGAGTGGCAAGTGAGCAAGATCAGGAATGGGTGCCATGTGAGTGTAGTCTGATGGGGAGAAGACAGAGATGCACTTTTCTCAGCTCATGGTTTGGTTCATCCAGCCCAGCACTTGAGTGATCCTGGTGTACACTCCATAGTGATTAGGACGTGCACATCCCATTCCCCAGCTGACCAAACCAGCCAGAAACCACCTGCCACTGGGTTCCTTGCAGGCCAGCGGACCTCCGGAATCACCCTAGAGAACAGGAAAGAAAAATGGGTGATGGCAATTCACCGGCTTTTCCTGCTGGATGATTTCATTAGCTTTGAGTATGCAGGTTCCTGTATCCCCTCAGCTCATGCCTGGGGCATCTGCAAAATCCCTTGTACCTTAGGCAGATGTCAAAAACAGTCTCCAGTGCAAACATCCAACCCATAATTGCATTCCTTCATCATGCAAATTCTCCCCCCTTAGCCAGCTCCCAAGAAGCTGACAGCTCTGTTGTTTTCTTCTGCTCCATGTGGCATTTCCAAATATGTGGAGAGCAAGGAAGCTGGTGGAATTTAACTGGATACCCGGAGGGATAGGAGACAGAGAAATTCCTTGAGATTGACAGTGAAGAAGGAATGGACAGGTTACTGTGTGTGACAGATGCTAATGAGGCTGAGGGGGGAAGAGACTGATGTAGACTTGGAAGTGGGAGGTAAAGAGTGGAGAATGGGCTGAAATGAGAAAAGGAGAAGGTAAGTGTTTCTGGATCCCGTCTAAGGCAAAGATGCTGGGAAGAAGTGGTCCTCAGAGCTGTTGTTGGCCACTTAGACCAGAAGAAGGGTTGGGGGAGTCAGGCATTTTATGGCCTTTCCACCCTCATTTCAGGGTACAGGGCACATGTGGGAGACTTGGGACACACCCCCACATCTGGCAGTCAACCCTGATCCCACAACTCCTCTTTCACCTGGCAGGCATCTTTCTTGCCCTTGTGGTACCCAGCACACAGCATCCTGGGAGAAATCATGTAGTGATAGGCTTCGCTGCAGATGTCCTGCTGGATGAGCTGCACGTCCACCTTCTGCAGAACGTTGCTGATGTGCCCTGAGGGGTAGAGCACGAAAAGCAGTGCAAGTGAGCAATGGTGGAGCCTCCCACCTTACCCAGCCCATGTCCATCTCCCTGCATGCTGAAAGCTGCCATCTGAATTACTGTTCTGCTCTCCACTGGCATTGCAGCCTCTGACTTTCAGCAGAGCACTTCACCTGCATGGAAGGAATAACATTCCCCTGCAGTCCCTTTGCCTACAGAGATATGTTGTGGGAGCTTCAGCTTTTGGGTCAAGGGGGATTCTGGTTTGGGAAAACCTCTGAGATGTTAGAGTTTTGGATTTGCTTCTCATTGAAATGGTGGTTAAGGCGCTCAACTGGTAACTTCATCCAACCTGTGACCCAAAATCAAAGGGGGTGAAGGAGGCATAATGCTTTGAGGTAAACAGAAGTGTATTCTGCCTACTCCACTTCTGAACCTATGTTTCCACCTTGGCTCTGCTACAGTAGGGCCACCAGCAAAGACCTTGCACCTACCACCTTCCTTGAGGGCTCCCCAGCCAGTGATCCAGCAATGAAGGCCAGGCTCAAAGAATTGAGAAGGAGCAGGCAAGCAGATGGGCTGGATTAAGGGTGAGATGATCACAGGATGGTCCAGCTGGAGCAGGGCCACATCATAATCATGGCTGTCCTCCTCGTAATAAGGGTGAAGGAAGAGGCGGATCACCTTGAAGGACACCTCTGTGTGGCTGGTGGCATTTTGCAAATATTTACCCAAGTAAACGGTCCAGATGGAGGCGGAGGCCAATCTGTAGGATACAGCAGAGAAGATAACTCATCACATGAGCAGAGAAGGATGGGCAGAGCCTGGCTGCTTCTGTCGCAGTCTTTTGAGGAGTGTCTGATGTGGAAGATCATTTCCCTCAGAGGGGCCTCTTTTTTTTTTTTGGCAACTGATTTCAAGAAACTGGGTGGGACATCTCTCTGATGCCTTGACATGCCTGTACAGTGGGACCAACTTTGGGCAGACACTCATACACACAGGTAACTTGCTCATATTGGCTTATTTTCCTTAGCAAAGCAGGCTAAAAGGTGTATGTAGGTTAGACAAGCAAGTGGGGCTGGTCATGTGCAAGTGACTCTGATAGGGCAGAGAGCAAGAACTGAGCTGGTGAACCAAAGCTGCAAGGAGAGGGAGACACGGAGAAGGGGAGCGAGCTCTGAGAAACTGCTAGAGGGAGAGAAGCAAGAAAGGCAGCCTAGAGGTGGGGGCATTAAAAGGCATGACAGCCCTTTACAGAAGCAGGGGACAGCCTAACAAGGTGGCACCTCTGAGAACAGAATAGCTAAGAGCTAACAGCCAAGGGAGAACCTGTCTCCAGCAGGAGGTTGAGGAGCAGAGGGGACTTCATCCTGGACGAGAGGAGGAGGAAGCAGGAAGAGGGCTGGTTTTAGACTCAGAGTCCTGTCCACCTCTTGCCTTACATGTGGCATTTTCTAAGAGGAGGAGGAAGCAGGAAGAGGGCTGGTTAGAGTTCTGTCCACCTCTTGCCTTACATGTGGCATTTTCTTCCATACTGCCTCTCTGGCTGTGAAAAGCTCCCTGGTTTGGTTTAACCATCTCTCTTGCTCCAAACTAGGACTCATCTCCAGCCTATTGCCTGCACAGAATGCTTGCCCATAGCATGGTCCACCCCAGGCTGCTGCTGGTTTTCTGCTCCTCTTTTTTTTCCTCTACTTCTTATCTCTCACACCACTTAAAATCTCTCCCTGATAGGTACACTCATATGCCATCTACCAGGGCTGTGCTAGCTCCATCCATCCTGCATTGGGACACTCCAAAATGGCTGAATTCAGCCTGCATGGACCACTTGAAAGGCCTGCTCCCAGTGCCGGGTGGCTTCCTTTCAGGGTTATAGGACATGGGTAGGAGCATGGCAGGAGCAGGGTGAGGTGAGAAGCACAATCGCAAAGCAGCTCCAGTCCTACCAAGGCTGGTGACACCATACTGAGGATGACCAGCAGCTCCTCCTCCCCGAGCTCACATGGCATCAGGAGGGAAGGGCAGCCAAAGAAGTCCATCAGTAGCAGCTGGGGAGGTGGGGGATCTCCAAGAGTATAGAAAAAGCGGAGTTCAGAGGAGGTGGAGACTGTGCCTAAGGGTGCACACTCCTTCCCCCACCCAGCCCCGTCACCCAGCAGAGCTGTGGACCTTCCTCCTCCTTGCTTCTTCCCAGTTTGGAAGAAAGAGTGAACCCCCCTGATCTGTGTGTTACCACCGCTGTTGTGGTACTTATGGGTGGAAGGAACTGGGGGGAGAGACCATGCTTCCTCCTGAAAGAGCAGGCCCTGGAGGTGGGCACCATGGGACTCAAAGAGCATCCTCCACAGGTAATGCTGTAGCCTGGTCCCATCCTAGCACATGCTGATGCCTCCCTGGTTGTGACAGCATGGGGACAAGACAGAGCCAAAGGAGGTGGAGCTGTGAAGTGTTTTCCACTACCATTGCCCTCTCAAATCTTCTCTGTGAATCCCAGCACTGCCCTTTTTTCCCTGTGTGCACACCCACATACTAGTGCATGTATCCATACCCCTTTCTCTAGCTCCAAGCCATGGGGAAGCATGGCATGGGTGCCAGCTGAAAGGTGCAGCTGCCCCATGACATCTTCATAAGCCAGAC